AAGTATTTGTCTAGTTATTTACAGTTCTTTATTTGTGACTGTAGTTTACATAGTTTTGTTGTATTTGAACATATTTCACAAATTTTTGTTTTGGTTGTCGTTTGTTTTTTCAAAGATTACGCCTGTCTGGGTATGTACTCGCTACATTTTTAATATTCTTTGTTGTTAATTTACAAGTTTGTATTTTTGGTCAATACCAATAACATATTATTGGATCTATCGAACGACAGGTCTTATTGGCTATCTGGTACTATTTTAGGGGGGTGCAATCGAGCGGACATCATTACTGTATAATAATATGCATATTTAGGTATTGTTATTTCCTAATTTCATTTTAAAAGTACAGATGATAAAAATTGTTTTTGTATAGTTATCGTTTTCTTGCAGTCTCGTAGTTAGATTGAAAACCACATATCCTGATAAGAAGCGTGCCTTCAGTTATTTTTCATAGTTCCTATTCAAAGGTAGTAAACATGTTTATGTGCTTTGGTCAAGTTATCGGCTTTTTGAAGGATTTTTGTTATAGATGCACGGGCTGGAAAGACTTGGTATACATTTTTAAATCAGTATGTAGGTAAGTGTTCAGTCATAAAAATTATACGTCGTATCGTTTCAGAATTTAACAGTAAAATATTTAACAGTAAAAGCGGCGTGTGTCTACTGTTTTCTGTGTTATTTTCTGAGAACATTGTGGTCGCTGTGTTAGTGTAAGTGTTTTCGCAAATAGTGTTTAATCAGACAAGTAATGAGTATTACATACTGCCTGTTTCTAGAGTGTCTTCAGTTCTAAAGAAGGTAATATGTGATATACGGTTGCTTGTATTTACATCCACGCATGCTGTATTCTGGATTTTAAGATATGTGTTTTTATTTTTCTTATTTTTTTTTTGCACGTATTTATTTGTGACTGTAATTTACATAGTTTTCATGTAATTCGGTATTTATTTAACTTTTTTTTGCTCTACTTTTGCGGGTATTTATTTTTGTCAATAATTTGCATGTAGTATTTATTATATTTTTTAGCATATTACCTAAGTATATTTGTGTATTTCTTTGTAGTTCTTTATTTGCGACAGCAGTTTACATAAGTTTATTATATTTGAGCATATTTTACAGATTTTCGTTCGGTTGTCTCATTTTTTTCCAAAGATTACGTCTAGCTATACTCTACTATTTTTGCACTGTTTTTACCTTTACCTTTAGCAGTATTTTGGTAATTTATTTTACCGTCGGGGAGTAACTAGTAATTTTTGTTTATGTATAACACCTCTTGTCCTTTGTGTTGTTTTTTATTGCTATGATTACATGTTAAATGCTAGATTGCTTTCTCCATTTTTTACATTTTATGTGTATGTTTTTGATGTTTTTTTAATATTTTTCACGACATTTACAAGGCGGCTTTGTTCTTTTGTGAACTTGTTTGTTCGGTATATATATTTTTAGCTTATTTCTTTGTAGGTATTAATTTTCTAACTATAGTTTACATAGTTTTATTGTATTTTAACATATTTCACTGAAGTTCCATCTTTTTGTCTCGTTTTTCAAAGATTACGTATATCGGATATGTACTAAGCTATTTGTAAACGTTTTTTTTTTTATGTTCTTTGTTAATTGTCGCTAATTTTCTGTCTCATGTCTCGTTTTTAGCATATTTCATTATGATTTATTGTATTAACTGTATTTTATTAGCTTTCCCCTTATAATTTTGATGATTTTTTTTTTTTAATGTATATTCATTGCATATCAAATGCTTTGATTATTATTTCCTATTAGTCTGTTGGTGCTTATTACTTTTTGCAGGATGCCTCTTATAAGTTTGATGTTTTTTAATGCATTTTTCATTGCATGTTGACTGCTTTGATTATTAGTTCCTATCAATCAATAAGTGTTTTATTACTTCATTGCATCTCGATTTTATTTGAAGGTTATTTGCTATCTGTCAGTACGTGTTTATTACTTTTTTTTACTTGTTGTACACATTAGTACCTCTTCTGTTTTAAGATATGCTTTTCGTTCTTTCTGCTTCTTCTTTCTTTGTAGGGTGTTTTTTTTTTATTGTAGTTTACATAGTTTATTATATTTTAGCATTTTCACGTTATATTTTGCTTATGTTTTTTTGCAGGTATTTATTTTGGTAGTATTTAACATTGTTTTATTATATGTTTAGCATTGTACCTCTGTAAAGCATATTTGACATTTATGAGTGGCTTTTCAATGGTTTTTACTTTCAGCTGTACCGTGACTAAGCATTATCGTCGAATTTAACGTTGATACTTATATAGGTTTTTTTATGTTAATTGTTTTTAATTCTATATTTAACCTATTTTGTATGAGATGCTGTAGTGTCAGTTTAACTGGTACGGATTGTTGGTGGAAATATATATTTACCGAAGCACAATACCAACCTACAAATAAAATATTGCCCGAAATGCCGTAGATAAAATATAGTACTCAACTTACCATTTGTATTCGCTAATTTTGTATATCACCCGAATTGTTATGAATATGATTACGAATAAGCCTCGATGTTCTGTTGGCGATAATAACAATGCAATTTATTCGAAGTCGAATAAAACGATTTTACGCTGGTATTTCCCTCGTGCCGCTGCATATGTGTCACTAAAGGCGTCTGAATGTCTCTGTTATGACGCTCTGTTACCCTCTGTGTACCTCTGCTACCCTCTGCTACGCTCTGTTTCCCTCTGTTATTGTGTCTTTGTCTTTTAAAATGTCGAACGTCACGTCACAACGTCACACGTCACGTAATTCCTACATTTCACGTCAAATGTCACGTCAATTCACGTGACATTTCACGTTTTGTGTCGAATGTCGCATAAATGTCACGTCCTGCGTCGAATGTCACGTCCTGCGTCGAATGTCACGTCAATTCACGTGACATTTCACGTTTTGTGTCGAATGCCACATAAATGACACGTCTTACGTCGAATGTCACGTCCTGTGTTGAATGTCACATAAATGTCACGTCCTGCGTCGAATGTCACGTCCTGCGTCGAATGTCACGTCAATTCACGTGACATTTCACGTTTTGTGTCGAATGCCACATAAATGACACGTCTTACGTCGAATGTCACGTCCTGCGTCAAATGTCACGAGACATTTCACGTTCTGTGTTGAATGTCACATACCTGTCACCTCCTGCGTCAAATTTCACGACGTTTAACGTTCTGTGATGAATGTCACATAACTGTCACGTCCTGCGTCGAGTGTCACGTCCTTCGTCAACGTTCTCTTAGCCACTGTCCGGAAAAGAAGAAGAAGAAGAATGTTCATACTGATCGTTGATATGGCTTCTGTGCTTTGACACCTCATACGTCAAAATCAGACCAATAGCAACGAAGATACGTTTTAGCGCCCATTTGGCAACGCCGCCATCTTTGTTTTTTGTGTCAAAGTATTCCCCGTCTCATCCCCGTTCCATCAAGCCCTCGTGTCACGTCCTGCGTTGAATATCACGTCAATTCACGTTCTGCGTCGAATGTCACGTCAATTCACGTGACATTGTACGATATATGTCAAATGTCACATAAATGTCACATCCTGCGTCAAATGACATGTCCTGCGTCAAATGTCACGTCCTACGTCGAATGTCACATCATTTCACGTGACATTTCACGTCCTGCGTCAAATGTCACGTTCTGTGACAAATGTCACGTCCTGCGTCGAATGTCACGTGACATCCATCGCTTTGACACCTCATACGTCAAAATCAGACCAATAGCAACGAAGATATGTTTTAGCGCCCATTTGGCAACGCCGCCATCTTTGATTTTTGTCTCCCTGCCTTCTCCCCGTTTCAACGAGCCCTCGTACGCCCCGATCGGACCAATAGAAACGAAGATACCCAATAATGACCTTTTGGCATTGACCTATGCGCACGGCACATACTGCGTTCAACCCCATTTTTCGTCCCCTTTCCAACGAGCCCTCGTACGTCACGATCGGACCAATAGACACGAAGATACCCCATAATGACCTTTTGGCATGCTCCGATGCGCACGGCACATACTGCATTCAACCCCATTTTTCATCCCCTTTCCAACGAGCCCTCGTACGTCATCCTACGTTAAGCCGTTTGGAACTTACGACCGGGGGTTGCGATTTTAGGGGTTGCAATTTAGGGGTTGCGCTCAAAGCAGCCTAGTATATCTACTCATTTTTTATTTTTTTTTTTTACAAGTGCATGTGTTTCGCTTCTAATTGCCTTGTAATTAAGGTATACCTCTTGTGTTTTGGTTGACATGTATCTCAGGTGAGCTTTTTCTTTTCTTTGCATTTCTGTATAAAACCATGAAGTACTTGCCTTGGAAACAATTTTTTTTATTATTTATATTTCTTTCACCAAGAACTTCTTTGGCTGAGGCTAAGATATTAGACTTAATTTTTGCCCAGCTTTCTTCGACTGCATCAATTTCAGTGTTATATGTGTTTCTGTTTTTTTCGGTTATTCTTTTTAACTTCTATAGTTGCTTTGTATTTTGGTGTTTTGTTATTACATATATGTGTTTTCATTCGGATTTTGCACAATACCAATTTATGATCACTACCTATTTCTGCTAATGTTAGTGCTCTTGTATCTTGAATTTGAGAGGGCTGTAACTCTCCATTCGACAGAATATAGTCATATAAGTTTTTGTCCTCTACTATTTTCAAAAGTGTATTTGTATTGTTCTTTGTGAGGGAAAAATGTATTATTAATACATATCTCGTTTATGATACAAAGGTCCGTCAGAAGGTCTCCGTTTTCATTTCTATTCTTTACAAGATATTAGATACAGGAAAAATCAATTTACTGGATTCATTGAGGAGAAATGTGGTTTTCAGGGTTATCTTAGTTTATAGAGCTTTCCTGGATCTGATAGCTTGTAGATTTTGACATAAACAAGACTAACGTACTGGAGCCTCCAGTTAATGAGGCAAATTGACTCATTTCCCATATACTGATATTAACAATTGTATTATTAAAACCCGATTTTTTTTAGGGAAGTTACTTTGCCAGATATTCTAAACGATGAAACTGTAACCAAAATAGCAGCTTCCCACAAGAAATCGTCTGCTCAAGTTGTACTTAGATTTTTGATCCAGCTAAACCTAATCATTATTCCCAAAAGTACAAATCCAAAACGCCTAGCGGATAATTTTGATGTATTTGATTTTACTTTGAATGACGAAGAAATAAAATCATTACAAAAATTGGATAAAGGAAAAAAGGCTAAAATATTTATTATGCAGTATTTGGCAGAAAAGTAAGTATAATAATTATATTGTGAATATTATCAATAATAGAGGGTTTTAACTTAATTCTAATGAATTAGAATAGACCTCTCATAGTCAAGAATGCACTTTTTATCTTTCCGATGCGACATTTAATCTCTTGGGTATTGTCCCACGACTCATTGATTATAGTTCCCAAGTAGTTGTATTGTGAGACACGTTCAATTCTCATTTGATTCACATACAGATTTACTCCAGTTATGTTTTCCTTGCTGATAATCATTAGCTTGGTTTTGCTGGTGTTTATATCCAGTCCATATGTTCCACTTATTTCCGTTATTTTGTTCATTAAGTTTTGTAGCCTTCTTGTGCTTACCACAGGCTATTAAGCTTGACTCCATTTATTGAGATGACTTCATCAATATCTTTTAGAGCCTCTTCAAAAATATGGTTAGCTATTATTTTTATGTCTTCTCCGTCAATCCCTGTCCTCTTCAACACTTCCATAATTTGGTACGATGGTGAGTATTCTCTTATATTCTTGGAGATTTTCTTTGTTTTTTTTTCTCTGATCCATAAGTTTAAGTATTTCATCAGTCATCCACGGTTTCTTATTTCTCTCACTGTTTCTATTATGATGGTCAGACTTTTATCTATAGTTCCTGCATTTTTGCATTTTAGCACCTTTGTACTGAGGTTTTCACCAACCCGGGGTATGTTTTGACAGGTGTACAGCTGTTCTGCCGTACCTCTTATTTACTAGCATGTAATCAATCTGATTTCGTACAATCTTTTTATCTTTTTTTACAAAATCCTGTGAAGAATTACAGGTGGGCAGTTTCCTTGGGTGTAGCTTAAACCAGGTGTTCATTATTACCAATTGATTTGCTTCCACAAAAATCTCCAACGCATCACCCCGATTGTTCGGTTTTCCTATACCAAATGGTCCAACTGCAGATGATGTTATACTGGTCCCAACTTTGGCGTTGAAGTTACCCATGACAATTATTAGGTCTTGCTTTTTCAACCTTTTCACAACTTGATTATTACTATGGTATAGTCCTTCTATCTCTTCTTCTGTTCCTTCTGTTGTAGCCGCATACATTTAAATTATAATGATGTCGATTGGACTTTTAGTTGTATGACTCTTACTGAGATTGGGATGAAGTTGTCAACAGATTTTGCCCCTTTTTTTGTCAATATAATGCCGACACCCAATTCATGTTTGCCGTTATCTGTTCCAGAATAGTAAACGCAATGCATATGGTTACATATTTAAATTCTGTCTGCACTATATGTAATTATTGGTCTGATTTTTACTTTTTATATTATTAAATTTCTGTTTTTGGTCAGCTGGTAATTCTTGAGTACGTTGTGGTATCTCTTTTTATGCCCTTATTAATTATAATTACAAAATTAAAAAAAATATAGGTTAAATCTTTGTAACTTTGTAAGTGGTTATATTTAAAATTTTAAAATTTTAAATATAACCACTTACAAAGATTTAACCTCTTTTTTGTGATACGTGGTATACAGTCAGCTGCAGGAATTTATTTTCCTTGTGGATTTTAATTACAAAATTGGTTTATATTCAATCTACGTTGTTGTACTTTAAGTTTTATTGCCGTATATATTCTTGCTATATTTATTATTATTGTTAATAATTTTAAACTAGTATCTATTTTATATAAAAGGTTTATTAATTATTTGTTTTTTTAATTTTAGCATTGTCGATCATCCAGAGTATCCTTTCCATGAGAATATTTAAGTAGTTGTAACTCTACATTAAGAATAAAAATATAGATTCGTTTTTGTGTTTTTTTGTTTACTTTACTTTTTATTTTATTTGCAAGAAGAAGAAGCGGTAACACTGCCTGGGGTGATTGCATGGTGGATTAAGTAGCTCTGCGGATACCACAGTCGGTTCCAAGCCTGGATAAAGTGTGGAGGGTGATTGGCAAGGTTAGCAACCTATCCATCGTAAAAACAAATACTGCTCAAAGAAACAATGTACAGCCTTGGAACCGGATTGTGACTATGAAGACGACTACGGCAAGAAATCAGGGAAAGCAAAAAATATCCAAAACTCAAATGAGAATTACTACTTGGAATATCAGATCACTCAACTCAAGGGATCAAGAAATAACCCAAGTGCTGAAAGAGAAAGAGGAAAATGTCAATCAAAATTAGGTGAATACATACTAATATAAAGTGGAGTAGCAAAAGAAAACAGGGCCAAAGAAGGTGTAGCCCTACTAATACACCAAAGGTATCAAAATCACATCAAAGAGTGTTAATACATATCAGAAAGAATAGTAACAGCAAAGATAAGAATGGAGAAGGAAGACCTGAACATCATCGGAGTATACGGCCCAGAAAATAACAAGCCTTAAACAACAAGGGAAGCGTTTTACGACCAATTAAAACAAGTAGTAGATCAAGTCAGACAATAGGGAACCAAGTAATACCCGGCATCAAACAAAAACATAACGAGAATGTTAAAAACGCAAATAGAAAACTGATGATCAACTTCTGCACGAATAACAAACTAAGAATAAACAACACATTTTTTAACCACAAAGATCAACACAAATATACATTTAATAACACCCGCGGACAAAGATCTATGATAGATTATATTATAACCAACAGAGATATACATCGATCAAAAATAATCGACGTAAGATGCCTCAACTCAGCAGACGTAGTTAGCGACTATATCGTAGTATTATGTAAAATAAGAATAATCCTGAAATACTTCCAAAAAAGAGGTTAGTCTTCGTAAGTGGGTATATTTATTGAAAAAACCCTTAAAAGGGCTACATCAAAAAAACAAACGTTTTCGGACTAAACAGTCCATCATCAGGTTTAAATTTTAAAATTGCTAGGTTAAAATGCCTGAGCCACCAAAATACATGGGTAAAAACCCTTTAAATCACATATAGTTGTAAACGATTATACATCTTGTTGTTAAAAAACTGTGATGTTCAGTATTAAATTAAATATGACTTCAGGTAACATACATTGTTGAATTGAGTTCCAGAGCCGGGGAGTAAACCTCTACACACGGAGAACAGCTGGAAACTGTTCTCCATATAGGATAGTTCATTCGATTACATGAAATCAACTTTAAATTGAGAATATCCGTTAGAAAAAATCATAACATTTAATTCGACTTTAAAAAGACAAACACATACCATGATTACAGTAAAATTCCCCTGTTAGTGATTCCATAGTAAATTATGAGGGAAAACCCAGGAAAAAAACCTCATAATACTATCCCGACATGGTAAGTATTTGGTCGTGCAGTTAGTTTACCTTCAATAATCACCAAATTCTGATTTTATATGTTTGTTATTTAAAAAACATAAATGATGTATACTTTATATGTTACTGACTTTAATAACTTCCTCTTTTAATATGGGTAACCAGATCCTACTACATTCTGCCGAGGAATTTGCGACACAATTGGTCTCATTTAGCTTAGAGCCGCTTTTTTGATTTTTCTTTTTTACCATCCGTTTCTTTTAGGACTACATTTGAATTATTCCATTAAACCCTATGTTCATTATCTATATAATAGATCTATAATAGTATAATCCAAATTTTGGTAAAGTTATAAAATGTGCGACACATTCAAGCAATATACGTTTAGCATAACAATAGGATTTATGCATAAAAAACGCTTTCTAGATATATAACATAAATTGTGTTACGTAAAGAATTACAATTTTCAAAACATGTCGTTAATTAATATTTTTCATATTTCTTTAAATTTGACAGCAGGACTACTATAGAAAATGCAGACCAAATATTTAATTTAAACGGTCCAACACGCCTGTAAAATTAAAGCAGGACTTAATAAAGGAAAAGCGTCCACCCTTTTAGAACTATTAAGACAATGGTCCCTCTTCGCGTACGGAAAGCCCTTCTCAATAACTATAAAGATTGTGTCTAGGTATACGTCTTCAGTAAAAATAGAAGGTATTTTAATTTTTTATCTACAAGACCAATGAAGTATATTAAATTTTAGTTTACCTATTAAATATTAATATTATTCTGAAGCTATTTTCTTGTGGCATTTTAAATTAATTACTATTTAACTGGGAATAAGCCTTAATTAAAGATAAAAAAATACGTTTATTGACGTTTCAATTTCCACTTCGGAAATCGTTCTCAAAATACAAACAGTAAATTGTTTAATTATGGCTTATTCCCAGTTAAATAGTAAGTAATTAATATTATATCACATGTATCGGCATCCAAGTTGAGTCTTATCCTCTTCAGTAAGATTCAGAGATATTTTATTATTAATTTATTAATCTTATAATAAATGATTCTTAATTGATGGTATATCGATTTGTTTGCAGAATATATTAAGTAGTTTTTTTCTATCTATTAAATCACAGGCTTGTTTAAAGTCTACAATGATATTCTAAATGTATAATATATAATGTCGTATAATGTAATATAATATATAATGTGTTATATATTTTGTCGTCTCTCCTAGGCGAGGGTAGTTCCTTTTTGCCTAATTGCTGCTTGACATTCCCTATTTATTTTTTCAGCGAGAGGTTAAAGTCATTGATTATTAATATTTGCGAGTATTTTGTATCCCGAACAAAGCATAGACATGCCTCTATAGAATTTTAAGAAAATGCGGACTTCAACAAATGAAACCAACTGCTTTGGCAGCGGGCTCACCGAGTAGTGATCTCATAACCCAAAATCATAATAGTGTAAAACGAAAATGCTACAACATAAAATAAAAGTACAATGTTTTGCAGAAATAAAGATGGTATGTTCTCTCTCTTCAATCCTGATCCCTCAGGGGTCCCTCAGTGTAGTGGTCGACGTGATGTCGTGTATTGTCCGTCTCCAGAGATCTCTGTCTCTGGTCATTTTTTTTAATTCATGCATACATAGGTCTTTGGCATATTCCTGTAATTTAATCTATCCATCTTGTTGGGGATCTTCCTCGTGATCTTCGGCCTTCTACCTTTCCTTGTATTATGAGTCTTTCCATTTTTCTGTGCTTGCTCTCATAACATGCCCAAAATATTTTAATTGTTGGAGATGGACTTTACTAGAGAGTCGTTGGCTAACTTTTAGCTCTCTTAAAATTGAATTATTTGTTCTGCGGTTGGTCCGAGGAATTCGTAACATTCGTCTCCAACAGAACATTTTAGTGGCGTCTATCTTTCTTCTCTCTGATTGTCTCAGAGTCCAAGATTCACATCCGTAGGTCAGTATTGGGAATATTAAGCAGTTGATCAACCTCATCTTTATCGCTCTTGAAATTTGACAGTCCTTCTATATTTTGATCATTTTTGCTGTGGCAACTTTTGGTATGTTACTAGGAGAGAATTGCATTTATCCCGCCATTGTTATTTGGTGACCTCTTGTCAGCGTTTTTAAAAATGGAGTATATGTATTACAGATTCAACTCCTCTGGAATCTCCTCGTCTGCTTCGATTCTATTAAACAACACTTCTATGAATGATAGAAGCACCAACACTTTTCTAGTCCTAGTGATTTGTTGTTTTGGCTTTCTTTATTGCCTTAGTTATATTCTTTCGTGATCGATCCTTCCTTTGCCGGCTTCCTCTGTTATTGTTGTCACAGGGTCTTGTAAAATATAGTCCGATCTATTCTCTTGCAATAATTTTGTTTAAAGCTTTGAACACTCCTTTGATGTAATTTTTTGTATAATATCTTACTACGTTTATTACTTCTAATGTTTTTTTTTCATGTTTCTGTTGATCTGTTATACCCTATCGTATTGTCTATGTCTCTAAGTTATTTTCTGGTATTCTCTAGTATTTTTCTCCCAGTATTAGTTCTTTTCCAGCCTTATTATTTGCTTTACTTGTTATCTTAGAGTAACATATTCTTCTCGTATTCCTGAGGTTCTGTCGTTTGGCCATTTATGAAACGTTTTTTTTTCTTTTTTCTATTTCTTCATATTTCTCGTATTCTTGTGTTAGCACAATACATAGCACTTTGTTTGCCGCCCTGTTTATTTTTTCCTTTAGGTGATGATACATTTTTGTTCATTCTTCGTTCATCTGTAGCATATTCTCTCGCCTATTCTGATATACTCACCTATGTAGAAGTTCTACGTTATATCTCGTATTTGTGATTTTTTGGTTCTCCTCATCTCTCTGGATATAAATTAATAATTGATCTTTGATTTCCACTGGTCTATTCCCATATGTATCTATCTATGTTCTTATACTGAAATTTTTTATTGGTTATGGCCAACTCGTATTCTTGACATATTTCAATTAGCCGACTTCCATTGTCGTTTACAAAAAATTCTTCCTGTTTTTATATAGTCGCATTGTCATCCATTGCATATACTCCAACAATTATTGTTGGAGGTCTAAATAGGTTCTTCCTGATTCTCATTATTCGTTCGTTTAGTTGCTGGTAATCTTGCATTTGTTTTCTCCATTTATATTTTATTAATATAAATATGTACTCCTTTTACTGCCCGCCCTTTTATGCTTCTAGACTCCACTCTATACGTATGTATATTTCCGTTCCTTGGCCTTTTTTTTGTTTCACTCAAGAGTATTATATCTGTGTCTAGTTTTTCAATTTCTGGGAATATTTCATTTTGTTCGTTGCGATTTCTTGTGTATTCCACGTTCCTATTCTCATCGTCCTTTTCCTCGCAAATCCCGGGGCTGTGTGTGGATTTCCATCCAAATCTCATCTATTCTTTGGAGGATCATAATAGCTCTTACTCGTTGATCAAAATCA